GTGTCAAGTGGAGTTGATTGTTCAGGTGTATGTGAGCTATGACGCTGATGTTGCTCTTGAAGGGGCAGTTGGTGATGTTGTGGTGCTTGACGTTGTTCTTGCAGTTCTTGTTCCGGCTGACGAATCTTGGCATGTGCATCGTGAAGGCTGGTGTTGGCAAACTGGTGGAAGTAGTCCATGGTGGCGTTGACCAAATGGTGAATTTTGGTCTTTTTCAGCTGGTTTGGGTCTGGGTCGGTGATGGTGATGCCCTGTTGGTCACAGTAAGCTGCTGCTATGTCATCAAGATCCGTGTGTTCGTCTCGTAGTTTGATGGAAAGGTGATGAAAGAAAATGGATTCTTTGATGCTGTGGGCAAACACAAGCGATGTGAATTTGCCATTTGCTAAGGCACGTAAATTCCAGTTCGACCAGCCCATGTATGCTAGCTCATGGAGACGAATCATGTCAACAGGTCTGCCAGCCAGTTGGTATTTCTGACTCCATGCTGTTGCTGTGATGTGGTGTGGAAACGTGAGGCCAAACTGTTGCTTGCTGTCAAAATGTTGGTTGTCTGGCTGGATGTGCTTGGTAAATCATGGTCATGGTGCTTGGTGCCTTGTGGACTGGGCGATTCATCCCAGTGTTGCCGGTATGTGGATGTATGCTGTGCCCGTGGTGGTGTGTTGATGTCGTAATTCTTGTATGACCATGAGTCAAAGCCGCCGCCGCCTCGCCACGAAGTCATGGATCAATACGTCTGATGAAAATCGTTTTTGTTCGTCAGTTCTGAACACTGAATTGGCTCCGAAATCAACAGTAATCATGAGCATGTAATCAAAACACAAGAGAGCAAACAATCGAACACATACAATGTGGCGGAAGATGACGCAAGTTCTTTGAGCACTTCGAGTTGTTCACAGCAATGGACTGGCATAAATCCGAAAACATTATATACGCTGAGGAAGTCGGGATTATATACAGCAGCGTCACTGTGCAAGAGGTCACTAGGTTTTAAGCGCGAGGTCAAAACATTGGTGTGGGTCTTTAGGAACAAGTACAAGTGACCAATGCCCAACTAGTGTGAACAACATCAAACAGAATTGATATACAATTCACTTGTTCCGGGGTGAAACGCTGGTCAGCAGCCTCTCATTTGCACGTCAGTGGAGAGCAGCGATCGTTCCAATTCACCATATTCATGCCAATGCGTGGGCGTTGTAGGTGCTATGTACTCTGGATCAGGTTCCAAGATCGAAAGGCTGTTAATGCTTGCTACTGTGGAGTGTATGCGCCAACGACAATCTCTGGCCCTGTGAACAATCCCATGTGTGTCAACTTCTTCTTGTTCAGCCCATTTGCCTCCGGTGGGTACTGCTTTGTGAGTGGCCCATAGTTGTCTGGTAAGAACGAATGGGACATGGCTTTTGCTGCTGAGACAACGATAAACTACTTTTTCTTTTTGATGTTGTCAGGATCCATTGTTGCGTTGCAGAAGAAGCCATGGACCTGTCGTCCACCCATTGTTTCACTGCATGTTGGTAAAATAAGGCCGTGTAGTAGGATTCCCAGGAATCCGGATTCGCCTGTGGCGTGAGCCCAATAATAGTAAGCGTTGCCTGCTTGTGAGAATGGTGTGGTGGTATTGCGTGGCATGTTCTGCAAATGTAGTTGCCAAAGTCTGAATTGTGAGTGTTCAGTGTTGGTGGTAGGCGATGTTCGTAAGTGTGGTGTGGATGGGCAAACCTGTTGTTGCGATATGTCGTGATGTACTTGGCAAGCGATGTGATAATATGTTCTTGTGGTAAATCGATCCCTGCATAAAAGCGTGTTTCCAGTGTGGGATCTGAATCTGCAAAGAAACGGAAGTAGACGGATGGCGGATGGTGCTGTGAGTTCTCGAGCTCGTAGGGCTGCGGAATGAAGTCGTTCTAGTTGACTGTAGCTGAATGCTTCATAATTGTCTCGAATGGGTGGCTCCCAAGGTGTGAGCACTGAAGGTCTTGCTCAATGTTGGTCTCAATAGCTTTTTCAAGCGGATCATCTGTGGATTCTGGTGGTGTTGCTGCTGCTGAGGATGCACTGGTGTGTAGTGTTGACAGCGGTTGTGGCTGGCGAGGAGTGAGTTGTACCTGGCCAGCTGCGATGGTGCTGAAGGCTGTAGTATTGGCTGATGTCAGCGAAGAGGCGATGGATCGAATGTGTTCGGAGAGCTTGGCTGTAGTTTGTTTAGGCATCGGTGGTGGTGGTGGTGGTGGTAGTCGTGGTGGTCGTGGCGGAGGTGGTGGTGAGGTGGTGGTAATGGCATTAGTGGTTGTGGTAGTGGTTGTGGTGGCCATGGTGGCGGTGGTGGTGGTGGTGGTAAATGCGATTGTGAGTGGTGGTGAGAGTGGTGGTGGATGTCTGGTGTTCTGTTGTGTGGGGAGCGGTGGTTGCGTTTGGATCTGGATCTGGTGTTGGTTGCGGTTGGTGAGCGGCGTCGTCTATGACGGTGTGAGTAGCTGCGTGATGAGTGACGGTGACGATGCTTTCTGGTGGATCGTCGATGTCCGTGATGTCTGCTGGAAGATCTGCTTCGACGCATGGTGTGAGAGTGTTTGTGTCTGTGTGCTGCAGTGCTAGGTGGTTCGGCGGAGTTGGTCGTGTCATGTGGTTGGTGTGGAACCGAGTGAGTCGGTTGTCATGTTTCTGGTTGTGATGTTAGTTGTAGAGTCAGGGAAGGTGCGACTTGTGGTTGTGGGGTGTGATACCCCGGTGTTGAGGCGTGGAAATGTGGAGAATGAGAAGTGTAAGACAAGCCCTGACATGGATAGGTTGCGCTGACGGTTGCTTGGTGGAGAGGCGGTGAAAAAGTTGGTGGTGTTGCCTGAAAGTGTGGTGTGGATTGATGGACGGGACTGGTGGAAAGAGTGTAGAGGGGTGCATGTGAATGTCTGCTGATTGCAAGGATGAATTTTAAAATGAAATTTCAGTACGACTCCCCCCCCTCGAGGGTAGGGATTTTGCTGTGAGATCTCCTTGCTGTGGTATCTCTTTGCTGCGAGATCTATTTGCTATGAGATCTCTTTGCTGTGAGAATTCTTTGCTGTGAGACTTCTTTGCTGTGAGACTTCTTTGCTGTTGGATCTCTTTGCTGTGAGACTTCTTTGTTATGAGACCTCTTTGCTGTGAGATCTCTTTGCTGTGAGATCTCTTTGCGATGAGTTCTCAATGACTTCCGAAGATCCGTCACACGGAAGTTAGACTTTCAAGCTTCCTTTGAATAAATATTTTTATATAATTATCGCAGGAAGTTTAGAAGTCAAACTTCCGACAATATGGACGGATGAAAAGCAGAGGTGGAGAGAAGATCAGAGAAGAGAAAGAGTCAGAAGAAAGAAGATGCAGGTGCGCGAAAAGATAGGAAAGTCGCGAAACACTGTGTTTTTCCAATGATTTGTGGCTCCAGAGGGTCCAAACCAAAAGTGATTGAAAAATTGCACGCCGTTGTGGCGCGAAGCGCATTTCGAAGTCAAAATGTACAAAACACACCAGGTTCGGACAACTTTTGGAAGTTGAGATGTCGAAAAAGTGGACGCCGTTGTGGCGCGAAGCACATTTCGAAGTCAAAATGTTAAAGACACCAGGGGTTCGGACCACTTTTGGACGTTCAGATGTCGTTTCGCGTGGCGGGCGCACGGGATTGTGCACCTTGTCAAATTTGAGCAAAACGTAAGGGTTTTGTAGCATTTTCAACTACAACCGCCACTGCACCAGGTTACACACCAATACACTACACTACAACTACAACTACACCTTCACTACATTCCACTACGCTGCACTACACTACATTACACTACACCACACTACCCCACATTGCATTACATTACATTACATTTCCATTCCATTCCAGTACATTACACTACACTCATTACACCACCACAAATGCAACTGCAACTCCACTACACTAATTACACTACACCACAACTACAACTCCACTACACTACAACTACAACTACAGCTGCACTACACCACACTACATCCAGCAGTTGTGGGTGAGGTGACCGACCAGGTGACCATTGCAACCATTGCAGCCACTCCAAAAGACACAGCTCCAACCACCTTTCGGTCCATCAGTGGCTTCGCTCTGCCATCCGTGATTCACAACAACCAACCTTTCCTATAGGTTTCCTATTTTTGAAACTTCCGCCACCGCCTTGTGCGGTACTACTGGTATGTATATATATATATATATATTAATTATTTGACACAAGCCTAATAGCTGTAACAGTGGAGCACGATCTAGAGCACGATTTTCGGCACGAAGGAGGGCACCAAAAAGCACGATCTAGAGCACGATTTTGGCACGAGGGAAAGCACCAAAAAGCACGATTTTTTGGCAAGGGAAAGCACCAAAAAGCACGATTTTTGGCACGAGGGAGAGCACCAAAAAGCACGATTTTTAGCACGAAGGACAACAACAAAAAGCACGATCTTGTGCACGAAGAAAACAAAAAAACACAATCTAGAGCACGATGTCTGGACAAAGGAGAGCAATGCACGAAGGCCAGCACCAAAAAGCACGATTTTTTGCGCGAAGGAGTCTGCCAAAAAGCACGGTCTCGAGCACGATCTTTGACATGAGGGAAAGCACCAAAAAGCACGATTCTTGGCACGAGGGAGAGCATCAAAAGCACGATTTTTTGCACGAGGGAGAGCACCAAAAAGCACGATCTAGAGCACGATTTTTTGCACGAGGGAAAGCACCGAAAAGCACGATTTTGTGCACGAATATATATATATATATATATAGATATATAGATATATATATAAAATATAATATATATATATACGTATATATATATATTTAAATATCAGGAAATCCACTTTTTGACTGTTACAGCTATGAAGACGGACGCGGTTTATTATTAGTATATATATATATATGTATATTGATTAATTGATTAATTGATTGATTGATTGATTGATTGATTGCAATACCAAAAAGGATTGACGCGGCATTTTAGGTGGAGCACCCCTGCCTCGAGAGGGAGGAGCAACTTGGGCTCACTGGTGTATTCAAAGGTCTGATTGCGACCTTAAGTTTGACTACAGAACTAGTAGTGTCTTTCTCAATGTTCCATAGTCAGTTGTAGTTAAGTTATGCATTCAAAAGCTGTCTAGAGACGCGTTTCCTTTCACTTTTCCTTGTCACCACAAAATCTGTTGGGCTTGCGATTTTTTTGATGCGTCTAGCACATTCTACAAATGCAGGTGTGGGATGGTAGTACAATATAATCTGCATCTTCATCGGCGCTGCTGTGCAAGCTTTGCCGCAAGCATCACTAAGATCCACTAAGTACAGTAAGGCTTCGTGGTACGGTGTAATGGCCTCAGAAAAGTTCGATTGCGCGCGATGCTTTCTGAATGTGCAATATGAGAGCTGCCCCAAGAGTGTTGCTAAATTGAGCCTACATTGTGCATCCTGAAAAATTGCTGTTTAACAACGAATGAAAAAGTTTTTGCGAGAGCCAGCGAGAGCCGCAATGACTCACCGAATCGCAGGGTGGATGGGCAACTGCCCATCCCACGTATGTCCTAGTGGGCCTACCTGCCATGAGTCCGGTTCATCCCTCCTCTACATATTGAAGAATCACTATAGACTTGGCCACGAAGCGCGACATTATGCGGGTGGTTTCTACTGTACATACTTACTCACTTGAATGTCAAGATGTGTCAAGCGAACCATCCTCAATCTTTTCCAAACTTCACAGATCCAAATTTGCGTTCGAATAGTTATATGATGCCGAAGGCACGGCAAATGTTGCACACCCTGTTTTAAATGCTCGTAAGAGAGTGACCTTGGCTCCAAGACTTTCACCAGGTGGCCATGGTTCTTGCAACCTTGCTGCCGACAACAAAGGTGGAGGGTCATCATGCACAGGCGTACACTCAAATACATCAAAATACTGTTGCTGAAAAGACTCTGAACCGAGGCGCCCTATTGGCTGGGGACGCTTCACCCGCAAGAGGTCAACATCAATTGGAGTCTCGCAAGAGGCACACTTACCTTGCACAAATCGTCACGTGACTTGATCAGGCGTGTGAAACACAAATTCACAAAATAAAATCCCCGATGGATGGAATTCTTAGGGTCTACAGCCCCCATTCCAGCCAATATGCTGGCTGAAAGGGTAGGTACCAAGACTGAAAGCCATGGGCTGGAAACATGACCCCAACCCCAAAAATTTAGCCAAAGTAGGAAAAGTACTAATATGTTCCCGTGGCTGAAAACTAGGGGATGTGAGGTTACCTTGCATCTTACAACTTACATGTTTCAAGTGGCTGAAATCATAGGCACCTGAGATGCAGGCCAACACACGCACATCCTGTTGAATCTTTCACATCCTGTTTCTGAAGCGTTCAACTTTTTTTTCGAAAAAAACCTTGCATCTGAAGCTTTCAACTGTTTTTTCGAAAAAAACCTTGCATCTGAAGCTTTCAACTGTTTTTTTCGAAAAAAACCTTGCATCTGAAGCTTTCAACTGGTTTTTCGACAAAAACCTTGCATCTGAAGCTTTCAACTTTTTTTTTCGAAAAAAACCTTGCATCTGAAGCTTTCAACTGCTTTTTCGAAAAAAACCCTGCATCTGAAGCTTTCAACTGTTTTTTTCGAGAAAACCTTGCATCTGAAGCTTTTTCGAAAAAAAAACCTTGCATCTGAAGCTTTCAACTGGTTTTTCGACAAAAACCTTGCATCTGAAGCTTTTTCGAAAAAAAACCTTGCATCTGAAGCTTTCAACTGTTTTTTCGAAAAAACCTTGCATCTGAAGCTTTCAACTGTTTTTTCGAAAAAAAACCTTGCATCTGAAGCTTTCAACTGGTTTTTCGACAAAAACCTTGCATCTGAAGCTTTCAATTTTTTTTCGAAAAAAACCCGCATCTGATGCTTGAAAAGCGCGCGATGGCTGGAAAGCTCGGATTCACCTCTGGAGTGGTTTGTCTCAACAAGTTCATGGTGCAACGGTTTGCTTTCTTGATGGTTTGTCTCAACAAGTTTTTAACTGTGGACAGCAAGTTCACTTACAGGTTACATGTCGAAACCTCAGACCCCAGGATTTCATCTCAACAATTTCATTGTTGGCAGCAAGTTCACTCGCAAGTTACGTGACAAAACCTTTCCAGTGATTTGCGGCTCCGGAGGGTCGAAAAGTAGGCTCGCTAAAGGGGCAGTTGCGGAGCCAGCTGGCCAGTTGAGAGATGACAAATTGCACGCCGTTGTGGCGCGAAGCACGTTTCCAAGCGAAAATGTACAAAACACCTGGGTCTCGGAGCACTTTTGGAAGTTGAGATGTCGAAAAAGTGCACGCCGTTGTGGCGCGAAGCACATTTGCAAGTCAAAATGCATAAAACGCACCAGGTGGGGACCACTTTTGGGAGTTGAGAGGTCGAAAAAGTGTACGCCGTTGTGGCGCGAAGCACATTTCCAGGATTTCAACTCAACAAGTCCATTGTGAAACGAGTCTTGTTGATGGTTTGTCTCAACAAGGTCATTGTAAAACAATTATTTTCTCCCACGCTGACTTTTCAGGAATCCAATGACCTGAACACTGCAAAGTCTCAAACCCTAGGCCCTAGGATTTATTGCGCAATGGCTGGAAACTTGGGATTCACCTCTTGGTTGATGTGTCTGTTTTCCCAATGTTGTTGGATGAAAACTATGGATCTGAGGTCAGCATAGAAATATAAGGAATCGAGTAGAGCTGTGGCTGAAAACTGTGGAACCAACATAACATGAACACATGCTCAACTGCATCCTGAAACTCTATTTCTCAGAAATGATGCTATCTGGGGCTTGGCTGAAAACCATGGGTACAAGTGTCAGGTAACAGTTGCAGCTGGCTAATTTTTTGAGGTAGAGCTCCCCCCTTTTCAGCCAGGACCACCAGACGGGGATAAATAAATCAAATTAAAATTACTTTACTTCGAGTTATCCCCACCATGACATTTATACATTTTGTTACTGGCAAACCTTCTGGCATTCTATCTGACATACCTTCTGGCATTTTATCTTGCATATCTTCTGGCATTCTATCTGGCATATCTTCTGGCATTCTAGCTGGCATATCTTCTGGCAATCTGTTCAGGCAGTATCTTCGGTCACCTATCGGAATATACATGGCATATCTTCTGACATTTCTATCTGGCAACCTTCTGCACTATTTCTGTGGCATACCTTTGGTTTCTATTGACATTCGAATATGGAATACCTTTGGCTGCTTTTCTATTCTGACATCTATCTGGCATTGATGCATACTTCTGGATTCTATCTGGCATATCTTCTGGCATTCTATGGTTACATCTTCGGGCATTTATTGCATATCTTCATGGACATTTTATCTGGCATATCTTTGGCATTCTATCTGGATTCTACTGGGCATATCTTCTGAATTCAATCTGGCCGTTGAGGGTCAGCGTGACATGAGCTGGGCAGGGTCAAGGTTATATTGAGGGTCCCAGCGGTGCACACTGAGAGTGGGGAGGTCCAGGTTTGAGGTCCAGACGGTGCACACTGAGTGGGAAGAGTCCAGGTTATCAGCGGTGCCACGAGCTGGGCAGAGCCACACTGAGCTGGGAAGGTCCCAGGTTGAGGTCCAGCGGTGCACACTGAGCTGGGAAGTTGGCAAAGAGCTTGGCGAAGAGAGTTGGCAAAGAGCTTGTCGAAGAGTTGGCAAGGCGGAAGTGCAGGTGGAAGTTGATGCAGACATGGTCGAGGAGAAGGAGGAGGAGGACGAGGAGGAGGAGGAGGAGGAGGAGGAGGACAGCTAGCCGAGGAGGAGAACAACTCTGATAAAAGCTAACAACCCTCACCTGGCAGGTGGGGAAAAAATGACACCTTGCAGAAGAATTTTATTGGAGCATTCACAAACAAAGCAAAAACGTTCAGCACGAGCATGCAACTTCAGTTGATTGAAATGCCATAATGGAAACCATTGGAAACCAAGCTACCTAGCAGCTGTCTCTTTGCAAAAAGGGCAATGCTTTCACCCGATGGTGCAGCAGCTACCTTGGCCAAGTCGAACTCTTTTTGCTTTGCTGCGCTATGCTCCACTGCTGTTTCTAGGTGCGGTATGGTGTGCCCGTCCCGTTCTGGACCTAGCTGGACATTGTTTCGTTCAAACAACGCAGGCCTGCTTGATGAACTCCACCACTTGCTCATTGTCTGGCTTTGTCTGAAGAGCTTGAATCACACTGACCAGCGAAGCAGCGGAAACGTGGAGAAGAGATGTAAGAGAAGCTGAAACATGTCAGAGCGATACCAACACATCTCCAAAACATGACCGGTTTGGTTTGCACACTACGAACTAATTCGCTTGCATCTGAATCTCTAATGCCTGCTAGCTGAATCATGGCCCAGAGTTGTCCAGAGTAACAATCTGTCTGGGTTTTGTGGGAGACGGATCAAACAAACATGATTTTGTGCCCGCGTGTATGTCTAGAAAAAGCCTTGATTTGAAAGTCTCTAGCCAGTGTTTGACTTCTTCGCGCAAGTCCTGCGGAACTGAGCTCTCTGAATATGCTGAAAGTCAAAGCATGCAGAGCTAACTCAAGATCCTCTGCTGAAGCAGCTGCAACACATTGAGCATGTTGTACATATTATGAAAAAAGCACTATAGAAGCAACCTATTTAAAACAGCCAGGCCATGCTTTGCGCCCCCAGGGGCATTACTGTAATTTGTGGTATTTCAGTGGCATGCTATCATTTCCTCTGTGGTCGTGCTTGCAGCTGTTTGTGCTTAGTGAAACTCATGTGAAGTTCACATGTTTGTCCGTGCGTTCCTACACATCCAGCGCCAGGTCCTACCACATCCCACGCTACTTGTACAAACGTGTCACGTGACTCTATCTAGTTGTGGTTGTGTTTGTGGTTGTGGCTGACGTTGTGCCGCTGTGCTGTTGTTCCTGTGTGGTTCCTGTGTGGTTCCTGTGTGGTTCCTGTGGTTCCTGTCGTTCCTGTTGTCGTCGTGGTCGTCGTCGCCGCCGCCGCCGCCGCTGTTTTCGCCGCCGCCGACGTCGTCGTCGTGGTTGTCGTCGTCGTCGTGGTCGTCGTGCGTCGTCATGGTCGTGGTCGCGATCGCGATCGTGGTCGTCGTGGTCATGGTCGTCGTCGTGGTCATGGTCGTGGTTGTGGTCGTGGTTGTGGTTGTTGTGGCCGTCATCGTCGTCGTCGTCGTCGTCGTGGTTGTTGTTGTTGTGGTGGTGTTGTTGTTGGTGGTGGTTGTGGTTGATGTTACGTCGTCGTGGTCGTCGTGGTCGTCATGGTCGTGGTCGTGGTCGTCGTTGTTCCTATATATATGTTCCTATTCCAGTTCCTCCTCCTCCTCCTCTTCTTCTTCTTCTTGTAGGTGTTGTTGTTGTTGTTGTTGCTGGTGGTGGCGGGGAGGGTGGGGGGGGGTGGTGGCCGGGTTTGGCCGGGTTGGTTGGGGGTTGCGGGTTTTGGGTGGTTGGTTTGGGGGTGTGGGTTGTTTGTTGTTTGTTTACTATTGTTCCTGATGGTTGTCCGGACTGTTTCTTTGCCCGTTCGCAGTGTGGACCTGTCAGGACCTCATCCGACGCCTCTATTGATCATTCTGTGCTGATTTTGCTGTGCCTTCATTGCTTCAGCTCAAGTTAGAACACGCTTGTCTATCGGTCTTTTCTTTATCTAGGACTAGGGTCTGCTTGTCTTCATTTCTTCCAAAGAACTCTTCTATCTTTCTGGCACCTTGCAAGTATGTTTGTCCGTCTCTTTTGCCTCTGATGCAGCTTGTGCTTTCTAGCTGCCTTTCGGGAGTTTATCGATTTGTTGAGGAAGAAACCGTCTTTTTTTGTTCTATTCACTCTGAAAAGAATCCAGGATTTTGAAAACCATCTGTGATTTTTTCTTCCTCATCATGGCTGTGTCCGTTGAACGTTGCTTGTCACATTCGGGTCAAAAGAATCAATTTCAAAAGCAACCAGATCAAAGCACACTCCTGTATTGCCTTTTGCATTTCTTCACTGCCTGCGTCACAGGCACATACCGGAGCCGTGGTAGTGAAATGTAGTGAGCTCACTCTCAGGTCTCTTGCTTGATACCCATCTGCTTACATATATATCCCAGTAAGAGCTCAGCGCGTCTTCCGCACTGGGCGCACATGTTTCTCAAACCGTACATGACGAGAAGTGGTATATATATATATAGCCAACGTAGATTTGTGACAGATGTATATAAGAGATCAAAGACTAGACCGTGAAAAACAACTCACCTTGCCCAGCTTCAGCTCGATCCTGGCAACTCGCAGCCAAAAAAAACCGCAGAATAGTTTCACATTGTTTCAATCAGTTCGTTCCTGTTCCACAATCACACAACCAGACGCACAAACAGACGCGTTGATACTGGCACCCCTTCTTGAACCATTTGACAAGCTTTTGTCTCGTGTTGGCATGTCGAGGTTGATGACCTCGAGCATAACAACCGGTTTCTTAGAACGGATGTACAAAATGGTACATAACCCGCGCAAGGCGGGTGGCGGAAGTTTCCAGGTTTAAGAAGTGTAACGCTATAGGGTCCAATTACTTTACTTCGAGTTATCCCCACCATGACATTTATACATTTTGTTACTGGCAAATCTTCTGGCATTCTATCTGACATACCTTCTGGCATTTTATCTTGCATATCTTCTGGCATTCTATCTGGCATATCTTCTGGCATTCTAGCTGGCATATCTTCTGCAATCTGTTCAGGCATATCTTCTGGCACTCTATCTGGCATATCTTCTGGCATATCTCTGACATTCTATCTGGCAAACATTCTGGCACTTTTTCTGGCATACCTTCTGGCTTTCTATCTGACATTCTATCTGGCATACCTTCTGGCTTTCTATCTGACATTCTATCTGGCATTCTATCTGGCATACCTTCTGGCATTCTATCTGGCATATCTTCTGGCATTCTATCTGGTACATCTTCTGGCATTCTATCTGGCATATCTCATGGCATTTTATATGGCATATCTTCTGGCATTCTATCTGACATTCTATCTGGCATATCTTCTGGCATTCTATCTGGCCGTTGAGGTCCAGCGGTGCACACTGAGCTGGGAAGGTCCCCGGTTGAGGTCCAGCGGTGCACACTGAGCTGGGCAGCTCCCAGGTTGAGGTCCAGCGGTGCACACTGAGCTGGGCAGCTCCCAGGTTGAGGTCCAGCGGTGCACACTGAGCTGGGAAGGTCCCAGGTTGAGGTCCAGCGGTGCACACTGAGCTGGGAAGTTGGCAAAGAGCTCGGCGAAGAGAGTTGGCAAAGAGCTTGGCGAAGAGTTGGCAAGGCGGAAGTGCAGGTGGAAGTTGATGCAGACATGGTCGAGGAGAAACTGGAGGAGGAGGAGGACGAGGAGGACGAGGAGGAGGAGGAGGAGGAGGACAGCTAGCCGAGGAGGAGAACAACTCTGATAAAATCTAACAACCCTCACCTGGCAGGTGGGGAAAAACAAGGTTTGCCTATAGGAGCTGCGGCAGACTTCCATGCTCAAGCCCTAACGCAACCCTAATGGTTAAGCGAGCCCCAAGAAAACCTCCTATCATCAAGAGCAGTGGGACTCTAAAACTCAAACAAACAGCATGGTAAGCGTAGACAACAGCAGGCAAGAGTGCCTTCAGGTCTGCACCTGGCTTTGACAAGGCCGGGACGTGATGGAAAGTTTTTGGCGCAGTTTTATGGCGGTTCAAACCGACTACTGTAAAATTTTGGCGTCTATGGTCTGACATTTGCAACTTCTGAGACATGCTCGGTATTTGCTGCAGGCCTGCTTCTCCACTGGAAACTTGGGGTGTGTCCTGGCTAGCTTTTTGATTCAAGCAATGAATGTAAATTGAATGCGACAGACTGCACCGTCAAGGAGGTTGCAAAATACTGGGGTGGGCTTTGTCATGTAACTCCAAGTGTCAGCTCCAACTGTCAAAGTCTTCAGACTGTTTGAAGCTCTGCCGGCAAAGGATACGGCAAGCAAAGCACAAGCTCAAGTAGCCCCCTTGCTGAAACATGTTGAAGCCGCCTTTTTCACAGCACGTTTTTCTTTGACAGCGGCTGGAAAGCATAGAAAGAAAGATGGTGCCATCATTTTCCTCTTGAATCTACCTGTTTCAAGCTACTGGCAGCAGTGTAGCCCAAGCTGGTCGAAAGTGCCAAGCCAACAATAATGCCAGACAGCTGTTCGGCACTCAATGAGTTCTGCAGGAAGAAACATGTTGCAAAACCAAGCGATGATTGCAGCATACAGTTTGCAAAGGCGCCTTCTGATTGCCCAGGAAAGAAGTCCGAAAATATTGCTCTATTGGTGGATTCATAGACGGCACGGACTGAACCCTGTAAGAAATACAGAGATAGCAAGGACCAACCCCAGCCCGAGCAGCCACCATATGTAAGCACAGGAATTGCGATAGCACAGCCTGCTCCCAATGAGATAATTGATCCCTTTCCAACTTTACTACTCAAAGGGCCGTAAGCCTTGGCAAGGAAGGCTGCTGTTAATGCAGTGATTGCTCCGAGAAAGGCCACAGATTCTTGACCAAGTTCCGCTGCTGCAAACCGAGCATTCACAAAACCATTCATGTATGCTGCGCAAAAGCCGAAGGACAGATTTGTGGGCGCAAGCAACCACACAGCCGGGTCCGACCACAAGGAAACTGCAGCTAATGCTTTGTCCAAAGGCTTTGCAGCATTTGTATCACCAGAAGGCAGGTCATAGATCCAGATTTGCATCAAGACCAATGACAGCATGGCAAGTAGAAAGTAGAGGGCAGCAATGAACCACACATCTATCCCAAATGCCTGCAGAACTGAAAAAAACAGTTTGCTCAACACTTCAAGAAGCAAATAAGAGAATGCAAACTGTCCGGACAAGTCAGCTGTTGCCTCGTCGCGACTTCTACCAGTTGCAGAAAGCGCAGAGGCACTGCTGGCGAAATACGTACCTTGAGCTGTCCACAACACACCCGCGGCAAGACCACCACAAGCTGAACCTGCTGTAAAAAGCCATTCCTGGCTGGTGAAATACAAAGAACCGGCAAAGCAAGCAATGTATAAACAGTAGAAAAACATTCCAAAGGTCAAGCCGCCTTTCGGGCCCAGCTGTCCAACCACTGGAGCTCCTAGAAGTAAGGAGGAGAACAATGTCACTACGTAAAGCAGTCCGTTTCCAAAGGTTGCAGTCTCGAGCTTCAAAAGCGTCGTTGAGACAGCCAAAGGCGTTGTCACGACACCGTGGTTCATAGCAAACAAAACGCCCATGAGGAAGAAATTTTGTTGAACTTCATCAGCCGAATATCGCTGAGAATCCTGAGAATTCTGTTGACCTTCTTCAAACTCTTCGCTCGACTCTTCAGTCTCACCAGCCTTGCTTTTAGCACGCAGTGAACGAGCACTCCACCATGAAATTCGTCTTCGGGATGTTCTTGCAAGATATGTCGCTGTTGCTGACAATGCGGCTGGACAGGCGAAGCTAGCAACACCTCCTTTGTCTTTTCCTATCCTTGCAGAGCACGCGAGCTTTACATTGGCAGCTGGCTTCCACTTGGACGATCGACTTGATTGAAAGGGGCCATGGCTGCAGAGACTAGATGGCTCTAATGGCTCCATCACAGTCTGGGCTCGGGTTCCCTCCCTGAAACGTTGAACTTAGGTTCGAAATGGTTCAAATTATATAAACCCCAGGATTCTGCAATATCATGGCATTGCTATACAAGTTGTAGCTATGGACTATAGATGTGATAGCTACAGATGTTGCAGTTGTACTTAGATATGTACGCAGGCAGTATATGGACAAGCCGGGGCCGAAGAAGTTGCGTAAAGGCAAACATATAAAAGGAACACCTTGTGGGAATTGTGAGTCATGCTGCTAGAGACATGCAACTTGGTGCGCCCGGAGCCTAGCTACTCGGATCTGGTCATGGCAAGTAACATCTCAACCTCTTTGGCATTGAAATGCCATAAGCAGGAAAGGCTTCAAGCATCTGCTACAAGGCCGCTAACATCTCTGAAAAATGACGCGGCACCACCAGTACCAGTACCCAGGCAGCAAGCACGTGCGCCCTGGAGCAAGCACCACAAGCATCTCAGCGAGACTTGCAACCCCAGCTCAGATAACACCATGGCACTGCGCAAACAGAAAACCAGAACCCCCAGCCCAATGCGATCAGCACACCCGGAGCACAAAAGGCAGCTTCCACAGCCGCTCCTGCAATATCTTTAAGCAGCGCTTTTACAGCTTAAAACAATCACAGCGCGGCTCCATCTCGCAGCCCGTCAGAAAACGCTCCGGACCAAGCCATAGTCGCGCTGCACTTGTTAGAAATTGTTGGAATAATTTTTATCGAATGTTACAATCCGCTTTGATGCTTTTTTGCAAACCACACAGTGCCCACAGGCATGGTCATTTATATTTATATATCACACGTATGCGTAAAATGCCTTCGACTCAAAAGAACCCAGCATAACCCAGCACTTTCTAGCACAGGACGCGCTTGTGCAAAATGTGGTGCAGTACAAGTAGGCTGGGTTACTGAGAGTTACGATGAATCAAGGTTAGGCCACTAGCAGACTTTCCCTTCTAAACTTTGGATCATTAGATACACAGTACCGTGTGCCATTGCAAGCGGTTGATGGCAAAGATATTACGGACAAATGGGCGTTCAAATTTCCAGGGGGCGAGGAACAAAATCCATCAGGGTGGTTGCAACCGAGAAGGCGCAGAAACAAGACTTGACTTCTCCACCTGTGGAGTCAAAGTTCCATCCCTAGGTTTGAAACACAAATCGTTGCATCATATCTACAGCATCTCTTGCTGAAATGTCCCGAGCTCATGAGGATGCTGAGTCAACATGAAACCAATCTTGCTATATTTGCTACAGTATTGATGATAAGGAAGAGGAGGACATCCGGGGGAGAGGAGATTCCAGCCCCTGCCAATACCTTGCTAAAACAAGAGGGGCTTCAAGTAGCAGAAACTAGCTTTTGTTTTCGTGATAATTGCAAACTTCGCTAATGTTCGATCATCTTCCTTGGCCCTTCTACACTTGGCTCGTGCTCCTACTTTCCTCTCAACAACAAGATGCACCGCTTTATGCACAAGAAACTCAAAGCAATCCTCGGGAGGCTTCTTGCTTGTCCGCACCTGCAACAGGATTCTTCAGCAACAACTAAGGTAGCCCTTTCCAGGAGTTCTTGTGACTTTTGATGGATCTCTGTCCAATCTCTTGGTGTCTGCAGCAGCCTCCATTTCCAGATTGAATGTCCTCCCAGGTCTTGAAAAGGTCTGATCTGGATCCCAAAGATCGTTTATCTACAATACCATTCTCTGTCATGGCAATTCATTCCATACAAGATAATCGCAATATACCAGTAGGGAAGTTCAAAGATAGGAAACTATAGGAGAGGCGAGTTGTTGTGATGCATGGGTGGCAGAGCGAACTGATGGACCGACAGGTGGTTGGAGTTGTGCTTTTTGGAGTGGTTGCAGTGGTCACCTCACCCACAGCTCGATGTAGTGTGGTGTACTGTAGTGTAGTGTAGCTGTAGTTGTAGTTGTAGTTGCAATTGTAGTGTAGGCGTACTTGTAGTTGTCGTTGAAATTGTAGTAGTAGTGTAGCGTAGTGTAGAATAGTGTAGTGTAGCCGTAGCTGTAGTTGCAGCTGTAGTGGTAGTGAAAGTGGTAGTGGTAATGGTAAATGTACTTGTAGTTGTGGCTGTTGTTGTTGTTGTTGTGGCTGTTGTTGTTGTTGTAGTTATTGTTGTAGTTGTTGTAGTTGTAGCTGTAGCCATAGTGTAGTTGTATTTGTCGTTGTTGTAGTTGTAGTTGTAGTTGTAGGTGTAGTGGTAGTGTAGCTGTAGCCGTAGTTTGTAGTAGTTGTAGTAGTTGTAGTAGTTGTAGCAGTTCTTGTAGTTGTTGTAGTTGTTGTAGTTGTGGTAGTTGTTATAGTTGTTATAGTTCTAGCTGTAGCTGTAATCCGCCGACCCCTACCGACAGCAGTAGTGCCAAACGAAAGCCAGCAAGCTGGCAGCCAGCAGTGCAGGACGAAAGGCAAAATGCAAGACGGAGGAGGCCATTTGGAAGCTGGCAGTGAAGAACGGCAGGTAAAGGCAAGGTTTGAAGCTAGCTTCTAGTCAGTTCAGAAAGTGACGTTTGGTACTCTAGGCTGCCGGCTGCGGGCCCGATCCGTCCTTCACTGCCATGGTGTTTTGGCACTGCGAGAGGGTCCTTTGACTGGAGCTGTGCAGGACGAAAGCCAGCTGCAAGAGGACACGAGCAAGTTGGCAGTTGGCAGTGCAGAAGAGCAGGCAAAGTCAAGGTTTGGAGCTAGTTTCTAGTCACTTCAGAAGGTGACGTTTGGCAGCCTGGGCTGCCGGCCGCGGGCCCGATCCGTCCTTCACTGCCATGGTGTTTTGGCGCTGCGAGAGGGTCATTGCCCGGAGCTGTGCAGGACGAAAGCCAGATGCAAGAGGACGCAAGCAAGTTGGAAGCTAGCAGTGTTATTAGTGCAATGGCGCCGTCTCCATCCAGCTTTCTCGGCAGCACGTGCGTCCGGCATTGTTTCTGTGCTTGACTCTGATTCGGCCATCGGCCTTTTCTGAGTAAACGATTGTTCTGCAGGTTGGGCATGCGTGCTTGTGAATGCGACCGGTGACATTGCCGCCAACGACATGGAACTTTATCCCGCACGCAAACACATGATCAATTTTGCCCAGTTTCGAAGTGCTGTTCACATGTTGCTGGCAGAATGGACATCCGTACCAAATCCCACTAAAATGATGAACATGGGCTTTTCCATCTATTTGGGGACCACTATCTAATAATAAATGGTTATAGTGGTTACCAATTAATGGAATGAATGGTATGGATATCCACAGTGCCATGGACTTCCCTTCTGGGGTCGGCGGCACTGGGCATTAGCCCATTATAGGTAAGTTTCTGTTGTAGTTATAGTGTAGTGTAGTGTGTTGCGGTTGGGCGTCCAAAAGTGGTCACATTTTGAATCTGAAATGTGCTTTCGCGCCACAACGGCGTTCACTTTTTCGACATCTCAAGGTCCAAAAGTGATCCGAACGTGGTTTTGCGCTTCAAAGTGTGCTTCGCGCCACGACGGCGTGCACTTTTTGAACATCTCAACTTCCAAAAGTGCTCTGGACCTGGTGTGCTTTGCGCATTTTGACTTCGAACTGTGCTTCGCGCAACAACAGCGTGTGCTTTTTGAACATCTCAACTCCCAAAAGTGCTCCGGACGTGAAATGTTTTTAGCTTTTAGACTTCGAAATCTACTTGCAATTTTTCATCTCTCATCTGACCAGATGGCTCCGCCCCCGCCGCTTTAGCGAGCCTACTTTTGGACCCTCCGGAGCCACAAAACATTGGACAAACAGTGTTTCGCGACTTTTCTACCTTTTCGCGCACCTGCATCTTCTTTCTTCTGACTCTTTCTCTTCTCTGATCTTCTTCCTTCTCACTTTCTCTTCTCTGACTCTTCCCACCTCTGCTTTTCCATCTGTCCATATTGTCGGAAGTTTGACTTCTGAACTTCCTTCGAGAATATCATATCTTTAATAAATAATTATAAATATTCTCTTGCATTCAATTTGGTCAACGCTTCAACATCATGCAACATCTGCATTTCTCAGATCCATTGGTCCTCTTTGCTAAATCCAAGAGCTTGCCTTCGGAGCCTTCCGTTTCTCGCTGCAAAGCCTGAAAGCACAAAAAATGCCGCCGCTAGTGAAACACAGTTTCCTTGAGATCGTGACAAGAGAACACCCTCATGTCAGGCATCAGAACGCATCTCTTTTACTGAATGGATCTGTCTGTGTATTTTAATATTATCATTAATCATCCAGATTTATAGTTATGGTTCATGAAATTTCATGAAATTTCCATATTTATGCAGCTGTTTGTATACGAATATGTCGCTTTGGCAGCTGATTTTGGCGACGGTACTTGTTCAGATCCCACCTTCAGAGCTAAGGTGAGCTTGTCAAACCTCCAGCTGACAACGCTGACAGTTCGCAAACAACGCCTTTGCAAACAACTAGCAGCTGCATGCAGCTGCTTCGGTTTGAAACCTTGCTGAGTCACCAAGAGAAGAGACATCGGCATGCGACAGCAAGTTGTGTATACTGCGTAAACTGTTGCAGGGTATGGGTATGTCTCTATCATGGATTTGACACAAAAACATACACTTACTGTACACAGTAACTTACACAAGCTTAGATCAGTTGAGGATGCTAATACTTTGACTTGCCAGGGTAATGCGCCGTCCTAGTTCTGCCTAGGCACTCCCGTCTCAGTTCGCGCGTGTACACCCTGAAATCGCTTTCAAGCTGCAACCTTGATCGGCAGAAAATCAGCAAAGACGGGCCACTCAGCAAGAAAGCAAAATCACCAAAACATCACGACAATATACCGCAATATACAGTACAACATCGTAAAACATCGATGACACTTTTCTTCGTTGTGATCTGTTGTGATCTTGGGTGAAAGCTTCGCATTCTGGAATTCGACATCGGCACCAAAAACTTCCGAGACCATCTCTGACAACACTTCCTTTCCTGGCTGGCTCCAGCTTGGAAGCGCCAAACGCAAAAAGGCATCGAGATGCATCGAGTATGAGCCAACGAAAATCAACGAAAATCAAGGAAAATCAACCAAACAGTATGGCTCTTGTATATTGGCTATTTCAAATTAGTTTCGATATGTTTCGATTATATAATTCAGATTAATTCAGATTATCTATTCAGGCATATTCAGGCTATTCAATGTGGATCCTACAGGAACCTGAGGCCATCGGACGGGCGTAGAAGAGGACATCAATCAACATCAAAGAAAATCTGTACTGTATTGCATGTGTTTGCATTACATAATAAACATATAAACATTATATACTGTAATAAACATGAAAAACTTGAAAAACTATGTTATACGATGATGATATATTTCAATGTTTGAAGCATACGTAGAATTATAGCATTAAAATGCATTGAAATATCTCTAGCACTTCGAGGAAGTACAAGCTCACGCTGAGGACCCCCCTCTGGCAATCTGCATCAATCTACTTTGACATATATACTTTAAACATCTTTGAAAAGTCGTTGAAATCCAAAGTTCTGAAGTGCGGTGCGCGGTGAAGTGCGGTGCGCGGTGAAGTGCGGTGCGCGGTGAAGTGCGGTGCGCCGTGAAGTGCGGTGTGCCGTGAAGTGCCGTGTGGCTTTCTTCGTGCCTAATTGGCGGCGATTGAAGAAACGCATGGCTTCTGCAGCATCTCGTGGGAGGACGCCCTGGGATGCTGAGATATGCTGAGTGGGATGCAGTGGTAAGATATATAGAATTTAGATAGATATGGTGACCATGGGACGCAGAAAATGAACGGTGACTCGGTGGCCAGCCGGCATAGCAGGAGTCAAGGCTATCAAGGCTACTACCAAAACATCCAAAACAAATAAAACATAATAAAACACAAGAAAACAATGTAATATCGACACAAATGTCAGCACAGTTTCACACAAAAGGAAGGTTTGCATGTTTGCAATATTTTGCACTGGCACATGGGGAGACTGGATATCACTGAAGGCGAAGATGAGATGGGACATAGAATCGAATGGCAGGGGACCCTCCGAACAGACTGCCTCTATGAATTCAAACAGCTTTCGGAAATGTTCCAGCTCCGCCTCACGATTGGCAAGAGGATTTTTAGGCACTGAGCCATCCCTACTCTGACGATGGTGTGGAATGCGAATGGAACAAAACCTACCAAAACAAGTCAAACCATTTTTGTTGGCACCAATCACCTTTTCCCAAGCAACCACACAAGATATTATGTACATACATGTACATACATACAACTGACATAAAAGAAGTGCGAGGATCATCGAGGACCGCTGATCCGCTTGTGACCTTGGGTCTAGATTGTACATGCTCAGAGCAAATCCAAGCCGGCACTGCCTGAACATCTTTCCATGATCCACCAACGGTGCCGCCTGAGGGAGGCCTTGGCTTTGCATTCGGCGATGCGAGAAAAAATCAAGAGTGCACACAGAGATACAAGAGTGCTGGAACTGTGTAAAATGCTTCAACATGCTTTGACTTTCCAGAATCTCGGTGCTGGGAAAATTGCTCACTCTTTGATGGTCTCCACCCTTCACGATCTGACAGCTTTTCCTCGGGCTTGATGCTGAAAGCTTAGAGACTAAGAAACTACAGCAACTACAATTAAAGCGATGAAAGCTAGGAAGACCTGGCAAGACAGTTGTATAGTTAATGGCAAGCCCAGAATCTGCGGAGACTCTCCTTTGAGCCTGCGCAAATCAACGGATAGACAGGAAGCGACCAGGTGCTATTCATTGACAGAACGGCGCCGCCAGCAGTAACGTCAAGAGTCCGCGACATCTTCAATATTGCAAACGCCATCAAATCCAGCAAGCAAGGATAAGCAAGGTATTCTTTTACAGAAAAACAAATTAGGGGCACCAGGATCAACCACGGAAAGCCGAGGGTGCTGTAGGTCTGGTCAATGGGCACCCTTTGTGGGGTGCTTCGCGCTTATGCCAGCCGCCAGTCCCACCCTACCTTGCTATCCTCGCTCTCACCATCACAAGAAGGACATGCTACGATTCTGCGGATAAATGATGCGTGTAATTTCATGTAACTTCCATATAACATATGTACCAGTACTAACCGGAGCACCTGGAAGCACACTCTCACCACTAGTCACTAATCATCACTCAGATCAGTGGGCCCGAATCTCCCATGACAACATTATCAAGACACACCAAGACATTGCAACCCTGAGGCCTGAGAAGCATGTCTTCAGTGTGAAATGACAAGGATGACAAGGAAATCAAATCTAGGGGGCCAATCCGACTGCAACCGTGACAATGAGTTACATAATATGCTGCGATATGCTGCGACGCATTGCGATGCTACAAGATGCTACGAGTACATGCTGAAAGGTAACAGCTACATATTACCTCGGTATCTGCCTATTGACGCACAAACTTGTACGATCTTATATGAATATAATATAATGTTGCAACAGCTGTACTACACAAGCCTCATTTGGGCCCTCTAGGCGGAGAATCCTCCTCTCTGCAGCTTCTTGGAGATCCTCAAATGTCAAAAAGTACAGTATATACTAGTACCAACATTTACAGTACTTAAAGCACTATGTGAATGGATGGTGAATGAACTGTGTCTTGAACAACACATTGTTCGAGACACGTGGTTCTTGTGTGAGTCAACATGGACCAACAATGACCAACATATATCAACATGATCAAAAACGCTTTGGGCTTTGCCTTCCATGGGCCGTTATTTCCATGTGCTGAATGTCCTCCATGTGCTTCAAACGCTCTTCTAGCTTTGCCAGACTGCTGTCCTGTATTTGGAGAACAGGAATTAACATGAACATAACAGGAAAGGCTCAAAGAAGCAAAACATGAGCTGCAAGACCTGTATTTGCAAATGATGCAGCGGGTAATAGAGGGGTGGTCTGAACAACATCTTTTGAACTGTCCACAATGTACCATGATCTAAAACTGAACATTTTCAAGTGCCCCAATCATGAACAGCTACAACAAGTACGAGACATTCTTTGACATTCCTGCCTCTTGACGAGAAAGGTCCTTCGCACTGGCAACAGCTCCACTTTGTTCGGGGATTTTTGCTGCTTGTCCTGCCTGCGCTGTACGAGTATCTGCAGCCTGTGTCGCCTCTGCCTCTGTATGCCGACTTCCTTGCTGGACCGATTTCGCTGCGGGAAGGGTGCTAGTTTCATCTGGGTGGTCTGCACTCAGTGCTTTTTGTGTCGTCAGAGTTTCGTGAGCTGCCATTCCGGCCAGTGCCAGTTGCAAGGAAGAAATCGACGCCTCCAACTGGGGGACTGCTCTGACTGCTCCTTGCAATTCCTGAACTACTGGATAGGTGAAAAACTCGGCTGTCAGCTTTGCCAATGAGGCTTCCACTTCAGTCATTCGATCTGATAGTGACGCAGTGACGGTTTCAGCTCTGACGATGCCTGCGGAGTCAGGCTGCAAGGTTTGCGCTTTGTCCGTCTCAATTGGACCCTCTGGGGTTTCAGTTCGCATGGAACCAGCCTTCTCACCCTTCCCGTCTCCCAGAACTGTAACCTCTGCTGTGTTGGCTCCCTGGTTTGGACTTTCAGCCAAAGCTGCTACTGATTGCTGGAGAGTGGCAACCTGAGAGCCAAGAGAAGCAATTGCTTCTGCAATGCTTTCCCCGTCCTTTTCTTTGGCTTCCATCATCTCTGAATTTGCGCAAGCTGCAGCTTTTGCCTCCTCTGCTATCACTGTGACAGCTGAAATAGCAGCAGTTGCAGCTTTAACTGCTTCAGCAGTTGCAACTTCCTTCGCTGCTTCAACTGCTGCTGTCACAGCTTCTGCAACCGAAGCTTTCTCAGAGACTTCGCCTTCACCAACAGGTTGAGGCGAGTCATTCAGACGTCCACTGCCACGGGCGTGGCTTGGGTCTGCAGATGACTCGGATGTCCCAGCCCCATCTTGAGACTTGCCAGCTCCGTCAGCGTGCCAAGCTAAAGACTTTTGTACCTTAGCACAAGTCCATGCATGCCCACAAACCTGACAAAGTACAATTATTTTCACACTTTCACATACTTTAACTATCCTGTTCATTCTTTCATTTGCATTCATTTGTGCTGAATGAACTTTCATTGCCAAAAATTGCCACTGACAGATCAACCCATCCCAGGCCGATGAAGCTTCAAGCTGCTTGCAGTTGGGGCACCAACTCAGAAAGCTGCCTTGGCTACACTGCCACGGTGCCACGCCACTCAAACATGCTGAACATGAAATTCAAGTGTCAAACTTCCAACACATTTTCAAGATCAGACAAGTAAATTCAAATAATTATTGCAAACTTGTGAAATCACTTTGATTCTGTTTTGTGATGAGGAAAAACACAAACAAGAAAGTAACGCACTTTCATCCACGCGCCTTTCCAATGCTTCCAAACGTGTACTTATCCGCGAATTGAGTGCATTCAAATCAGCCTTGCATGTTGACGGAAGCAGCGATTGGAACCATGAAAACCTCACAAACAGCAAACCAATCCAAAGATTGAAAATCTTCGGCCGTGGAAATCAGTGGCTAGTGTCCCTCACAGATTATGCTCCAGGCACACAGGTTGCCAAAATTGGTGGTTTGAGCGGCCAAGTCTGGCCTTACAGTTTTGGCACGGACAATTGCAGCAGCGATACCCAAGCAGGAATTGATGCCACACAGCAATCATCTTGCTTTCATGACAGCGTCTACTAACATCTATATATTAACTATGAAATGTATTCTGGGGGAATGTTCCCATGCTCTTGCCTTACCTACCTGCTTTTGGTGTTGCTTCGCCCAATTAGCAAACATTGGGACAAATCAGATTTTTTTGGCAGACAGCTGCAATATAAGACTGATACTGTACAGTAATACCCAAAGCATCCCAAAACTATCACTTGTCCTGACAGCCAGGTTTTCACATGAAAGACCCCAACATCACCTGCAATCAATCGATCTCGTACTCCTTTACTTCATGGACCAGTAGGATTGAGGCGCCGTGGAATGACTCACTGGCATTTCGAGTTGCAAAACAAGTGCTGAGATGAAACTTGGGCATGTTCAAAGGCGCAAAAAAAACAAACAAACTGTTAAACAAACATACAGAAACGGGCGTAGAACCTTGCAAAACCGCGACAACTTCGATGTAGGCGATGCTGCTTGACAAATTCTGTACTGATCCGCTTATCTGAAAAAAGAGGTGTATCACATGCTTGAACAAACAGTAAGCGTGTGTGTGTGCGACATTTGAATGGATGCAACACTTCCTGTCCTCCCTTGCGTGCCCCCCTCTTCGTCCTTTTGTGTATATATATAATAAATGTAAATATAAAACATCATATCATAGAACATCATAGATTAATATATATATATATTCATATAATCAATAAAATTTATGGTGATATCTTATAATCACTTATACATCAGCAGGGGGTACAGTGCCGGATTGCAAACCACACCCAACGAAGCTATGCAATCTGGCGGGATGTGTATGGGGTTGCCTATACATGATTGTACATGTACCCGCATACTTGAACCATTGCTTCGTAGACCTATGCCATCCTGTCAGTCTGGCATCCCTGTGAACCATATCATTCCGTCTGCCTGGTAAACTAGCGCAGCGAACCTCATTCCTCTAAACCACTCTGGAACCCATCAAGTGAAACCGAGCCATTCCTTCGGTCTGGCAATCCTGTGAACCGACTTGCGCACAATTGCATATATATATATATATATATATATATTCAATTAATATGTATATGTGCATATACATGCCGGCGGGTGGGAAACCGCGCTAGCGGTTAAACACGTTTTGCAAAAACCCTCTTCTGGCGCCGTGGCGCCGTGCGCATTTTATGATCAACAATACCTTAAATTTTGCCGGGCAGAATTCACTGACTTTGAAGCAATGACGTGGTATTTACAGGGTTTTGTGCTGCTGGCAGGGTGGTCGCTTTTTCCTTCTGCTCTGGGCGTCTCACTTCTCCAAGCGTTTGCTCAGAGCGTGGCCGGTGAGACTGAGAAAGTCTGTGCAATTTCCATGGTGCCATCGCCGTTGCCACATCCTAATGCCTTGAAGCAACTGAGGGTTCACAGCACCGCCTTTACGTGTGCTCCAAGAGCGTGATACTGCACCTTTGGAAATTTTCCACATTCAATCGATACCGCCGGTGTGCACTAGCAAGGTGCCCCATTGCTTTTTTTTCTTGATGCAAAAGATGCCCTTACTATGATTGCAAGCTTCATGAAGCAGATTATTTTCAGAGGTCAGTTTGGGGTAGCATGGGGCACCGTCTGTCACCAAGATGCTTTTGCGACCATGCTTGTGGGCCAGTAGCGCATTGCAAAGCACCAGTGGCACGAACACGTGGCGCGCTCTCAGGTGGAGGCTTTCCAGGCTTGGAAGCTGCTGCGACTCCCAAATCATAAATTCGGAATTTCCTTTCATGTCTTCATCATTGGGGCGTTGATACGTTAATATCCCACCCCACCCCCACAACCCCCAACCACTGAACGTGCAGCAGCGTAGCATCACGTGCGTACGCAAGTCACATGAACGTTAATATCCCACCCCACCCCACCCAACTCCCATATTGAAAAAGTAGCACGACTACACGCGCGGTTTTCCATCCGCCAGCATATACATATACACAATATGTACATGTATATGCAAAAGCATACGTATACGTATACGTATATGTATAATGTTCAATGTATGTGTATATGTATGTGTATGTGTATGTGTATATGTATATGTATATGTAAATGTGCACGCATGCATGTATGTGTATATATATATATACACAATTATACAAGTATATAAAGAATATATATATATATATATGACATATAAATACATATTACCATTAGTACCGCAGAAGGCGGCGGCGGAAGTTTCAAAAATAGGGAAACCTATAGGAGAGGTTGGTTGTTGTGAATCAGGGGTGGCAGAGCGAAGCCACTGATGGACTGAAAGGTGCTTGAGGTCTCCTCTCTTTCTCTCTCTCTCTCTCTCTTTCTCTCTTTTTCTCTCTGTTTCTCTATCTTTCTCTGATTATCTACCTACCTACCTACTGATCTATCTGTCTACCTATCTATCTGCCTGTCTATCTATCTATCTCCCTATGTATCTATCTATCTATCTATCCATCGGTCCATCGATCTATCTATCTATCTATCTATCTATCTATCCCTCTCTCTCTCTCTCTCTGTCTGTCTGTCTGTCTTTCTGTCTGTCTGTCTACCTGTCTATCTGCAAGATTGAAAACGAAGCTATTCTGCGAGACGTCCTCAGGTTTTGAACTTGCAAAAACGCAGCAATTCTGCGAGACTTCCTCAATGTTTGAACTTGACAACGTCAAAAACAAAAGCAATTCTGCGAGACTTCTTCAATTTTCAAAGTTGACAACATCAAAAAAGAAGCAATTCTGCGAGACTTCCTCAATATTTCAACTTGACAACGTCAAAAAAAAACAATTCTGCGAGACTTCTTCAATTTTCAAAGTTGACAACATTAAAAACGAAGCAATTCTGCGAGACTTCCTTCAAAAATGGAAAGTTGCGTGCAACGCTGACGGCCTCGTGCCAATGAGTTTCGCGATTTGTCCAATCCATTTGTCTAAACTACTGCGCCTGCCACGCAAAAGTGATGCCAGGTCATACGAAGTGCTGCACCTGTCACGCAAAATCACTTCAGAAAACCTGAAGATCTGATGCTCCAAAATGCAACCCCTCTCAGGAAATCAGGGCCCGGACCTCCTAACAGCTCTGATGAAGATGTCTCTTGTACTGCGCCTGCCACGGAAAATGCATCTTTGCAGATCCTCTTCAAATGTCCCACGCCTGCCATCGTTTGTGAAAATGCTACAGAACCCCCACGTTTTGCTCACTTTTGAGAAGGTGCACAA